ACGTAAGACCGAAAACCATAAAAACCCTAGAAGACAACCTAGGCAATACCATTCAGGACATAGGCATGGGCAAAGACTTCATGTCTAAAACACCAAAAGCAATGGCAACAAAAGCCAAAATTGACAAATGGGATCTAATTAAACTAAAGAGCTTCTGCACAGCAAAAGAAACTATCATTAGGGTGAACAGGTAACCTACAGAATGGGAGAAAATTTTTGCAGTCTATCCATTTTACAAAGGGCTAATATCCAGAATCTACAAAGAATTTAAACAAATTTACAAGGAAAAAAAACCCCATCAAAAAGTGGGTGAAGAATAGGAACAGATACTTCTCAAGACATTTATGCAGCCAACAAACTTATAAATATATGCTCATCATCACTGGTTATTAGAGAAACGCAAATTAAAACCACAATGAGATACCATCTCACACCAGTTAGAATGGCAATCATTAAAAAGTCAGGAAACAACAGATGCTGGAGATGATGTGGAGAAATAGGAACACTTTTACACTGTTGGTGGGATTGTAAACTAGTTCAACCATTATAGAAGACAGTGTGGTGATTCCTCGAGAATCTAGAACTAGAAATACCATTTGACCCAGCAATCCCATTACTGGGTATATACCCAAAGAATTATAAATCGTTCTACTATTAAAACACATGCACACATATGTTATTGCGGCACTGTTCACAATGGCAAAGACTTGGAACCAACCCAAATGCCCATCAATGATACACTGGATAAAGAAAATGTGGTACATATACACCATGGAATACTATGCAGCCATAAAAAAAGATGAGATTACATCCTTTGCAGGGACATGGATGAAGCTGGAAACCATCATTCTCAGCAAACTAGCCCAAGAACAGAAAACCAAACACCACATGTTCTCACTCATAAGTGGGAGTTGAACAATGAGAATACATGGACATAGGGAGGGGAACATCACACACCAGGGCCTATCATGGGGTGGGGGAGAAATACCTAATGTAGATGACAGGTTGATGGGTGCAGCAAACCACCATGGCACATGTATACCTATGTGACAAACCTGCACGTTCTGAACATGTACCCCAGAACTTAAAGTACAATTTAAAAAATGGAAAAAAAAAAAAAAAAAAAAAAAAAACAGACATAGCCAATAGAACAGAAGAGAGAGCCCAGAAATAAATTCACGTATATATGGTCAATTGATCTTTGACAAATGTCCAAAAACACATAATTAGGAAAAGAATGTCTCTTCAATAAATTGTGTTGGAGAGACTGCAGAAGAATGAAAATAGGTCCTTATCTTATCCCATATATAAAAATAGACCCAAAATGAATTAAAAACTTAAATGTAAAACCGGAAACTGTAAAACTACTTGAAGAAAACAGGGTGAAAACTTCTCGACATTGGTCTTGGAAAAGATTTTTTTGATATGACCCCAAAAGCAAGGGTAACAAAAGCAAAAATAGACAAATGGGACTGCATCAAGTTAAATAGTTTCTTCAGAGCAAAGGAAACAATCGATGGAATGAAGATACAACCTATGTAATGGGAGAAAATATTTGCAAACCACACATCTGATAAGAGTTTAATATCCAAGATGTAAAAGGAGCTCAACTCAACTACAAGAAAACAAATAACCCCATTTAAAAATGGACAAATGGCTTGATATTTCTCAAAAAAAGATATATGAATGGTCAACAGGGTATATGAAAAAAATGTTCAACATCACTAATCATCAAGGAAAAGTAAATTTAAACCACCAGGTAATATTACCTCACACCTGTTATCAAAAAAATGGCTACTATCAAAAAGGAAAAATATAAGTACTGGCAAGAATGTGGAGAAAAGGGAACTCTTACACAATGTTAGTGAGAATGTAAATTGGTACAGCTATATGGAAAACAGTATGGAGATTCTTCAAAAAATAAAAATAAAAATAGAACTACCATATGACCAAGCAATTCCACTTCTGAGTATACATCTAAAGGAAATGGGATAAATCACGTTGAGTAGATACCTATACTCCCATGTTCATTGCAGTATTATTCACAATAACTACAATATGGAATCAACCTAAGTGTCCCTAAATGTAAAAATAGATAAAGATACAAATAAAGAACATGTGAAATATATATATATATATATATATCTCTTATCCAGCCTTAAAAAAGCAGCAAATCCTGTCATCTGTAACAATATGGATGAAACTGAAGGGCATTACGCTAAGAAGTCAGGTACAGAAAGACAATTACTGCATGATCTCGCTTATATGTAGAACCCCAAAAAGTCAAACTCAAGGAAATAGAGAACAGAATGCAGGTTACCAGAGGCTGGGGTTGGAGAAAAATGGGGAGATATTAGTCAAAGGGTACAAAATTCAGCTAGACAAAGGGAAAGTTTCTAAGAGAGTAGTTTTTAAGTGTTTTCACCAGAAAAAAAAGATATATATGTGAGGATTTGGGGTCTGTTACATAGCTTGATTTAGCCATTCCACAAAGTATGCACACATAAAAACATCACATTTTATACCATAAATATATATAATTTTGCCAATTTAAAAAAAACATTTTTTCATGTGTCCGTTGGCTGTATGAATGTCTTCTTTTGAGAAATGTCTGTTCATATCCTTTGCCCACTTTTTGATGGGGTTGTTTGTTTTTTTCTTGTAAATTTGTTTGAGTTCTTTGTAGGTTCTGGATATTAGCCCTTTGTCAGATGAGTAGATTGCAAAAATTTTCTCCCATTCTGTAGGTTGCCTGTTCACTCTGATGGTAGTTTCTTTTGCTGTGCAGAAGCTCTTTAGTTTAATGAGATCCCATTTGTCAATTTTGGCTTTTGTTGCCATTGCTTTTGGTGTTTCAGACATGAAGTCCTTGCCCATGCCTATGTCCTGAATGGTATTACCTAGGTTTTCTTCTAGGGTTTTTATGGTATTAGATCGAACATTTAAGTCTCTAATCCATCTTGAATTAATTTTCGCATAAAGAGTAAGGAAAGGATCCAGTTTCAGCTTTCTACTTATGGCTAGCCAATTTTCCCAGCACCATTTATTAAATAGGGAATCCTTTCCCATTTCATGTTTTTCTCAGGTTTGTCAAAGATCAGATGGCTGTAGATGTGTGGTATTATTTCTGAGGACTCTGTTCTGTTCCATTGGTCTATATCTCTGTTTTGGTACCAGTACCATGCTGTTTTGGTTACTGTAGCCTTGTAGTATAGTTTGAAGTCAGGTAGCATGACAGCCAACAGATACATGAAAAAATGCTCATCATCACTGGCCATCAGAGAAATGCAAATCAAAACCACAATGAGATACCATCTCACACCAGTTAGAATGGCGATCATTACAAAGTCAGGAAACAACAGGTGCTGGAGAGGATGTGGAGAAATAGGAACACTTTTACACTGTTGGTGGGATTGTAAACTAGTCCAACCATTATGGAAAACAGTATGGCGATTCCTCAAGGATCTAGAACTAGAAGTACCATATGACCCAGCCATCCCATTACTGGGTATATACCCAAACGATTATAAATCATGCTGCTATAAAGACACATGCACACGCATGTTTATTGCGGCACTATTCACAATAGCAAAGACTTGGAATCAACCCAAATGTCCATCAGTGACAGACTGGATTAAGAAAATGTGGCACATATACACCATGGAATACTATGCAGCCATAAAAAAGAATGAGTTTGTGTCCTTTGTAGGGACATGGATGCAGCTGGAAACTATCATTCTCAGCAAACTATCGCAAGAACAGAAAACCAAACACCGCATGTTCTCACTCATAGGTGGGAACTGAACAATGAGATCACTTGGACTCGGGAAGGGGAACATCACACACCAGGGCCTATCATGGGGAGGGGGAAGGGAGGAGGGATTGCACTGGGAGTTATACCTGATGTAAATGACGAGTTGATGGGTGCTGACGAGTTGATGGGTGCAGCACACCAACATGGCACAAGTATACATATGTAACAAACCTGCATGTTATGCACATGTATCCTAGAACTTAAAGTATAATAATAATAATAAAAATAAATTTTAAAAAAATAAAGCATTTATTTTAAAAAGAAATTATATGAGTTTACAGGTGAAAAAATATTCACAAACTACATTTTGTATCATTGTAACTTTTAATTTTTTACCTATGGAAAAATACATATAACATAAAATTTACCATCTTAACTATTTTAAGTGTATAGTTCATCAGTGTTAGGTAACTTTACACTATTTTACAACCAATCTCCAGAACTCTTCTCCTCATGTAAAACTGAAGCTTTGTGTGCATCAAACAATAACTCCCCATTTCCCCCTCCTGCACCCCCTGGCAAACATCATTCTGTCTTCTGTGTCTATGAATTTGACACTGCTCTAGATACCTCATCCAAGAGGAATAATTGCATTTGTCTTTTTTGTGGCTGGCTTATTATACTTAGCAGAATGTCCTTAGGCTTCATCCATGTTGTAGCATGCATCAGAATTTCCTTTCTTTTTAAGACTCAATAACAATTTCATTGTATGTATATGCCACATTTTGTTTATCCATTTTATTCATTGTTGCACGTGTGGGTTGCTTCCATCTTTTGGCTGCTGTGAATAATGCTGCAATGAACATGGATGTACAAATATCTCTTCAACACTCTTGTTTTCAATTTTGGGGTATACATGCCCAGAAGTGGAACTGCTGAATCATATGGTAATTCTGTTTTTAATTTTTTGAGAAACCAATATACTAGTTTCCCATAGCACATATTTTACATTTCATTTTACATTCTCTATGTTTATAATTTTCCATTTAAACATTATACGTACATAAAATCATAAAAATTGATATAAGAAATTCTAAATTTGTTGACAGAGGCATTATTTTCTTCTTTATGTTTTCAATATTTCTGCAATAAATACATACTAACTTTTATCAATAAGCATATTACATATGGAAAAATACAATTTTATCTGTCTTTTTTTTAAAATAGAAAAATAAAAAATGCTTACCTCTCCAACATATTTGCCTGGTTTTCAAATACTTTCAACATGGTATTAAATCGATTAGTCATTGAATGAGCAGTTTCTATTATTCAAAAAGTCAAAAATGTTAAAGGTTTTATAAATAGCTGAAGTTATAGCTCTATGCTAAATACAACTGCTATAGATGTGAAAGCTAAACAAACATAAAGAGCGGCTAGCAGGGCTACATGAGGCTACAGAATGCTTATGAGGAACATAGCTACCATTTTATTAAATACCTATTATGTGCAAATCATCATGTTATATTGCATTCTCTTATTCTTAAAATAATCTAAAAAATAAGACACTGTCATAATTTTCAAATAAAGAAGTTCAGGCTCAGAGAGGTTACATAACTTGATCAATACAATATATCTAGTAAAATTCAAAACTGGATTAATGTCCAACATATGTGATCTTCTTATGATATGGCATATCAGAGGGACTCCAGGATATTAAAAGAGAACTGCTTTAGTTGCTGTTGCTAAGTCAATAAGGTCTATGGGAAGGATCTAGCTAACCTACTAAGCTTTACAACTGTATCAAAGAATCCAAAAGAGAACCCAAGATGCTACTTAAAAGAGATCCAACATGATAAGGATCCACAATAATCAATGAACTATTCGGGTAATACCACAAGACTCTTCAATCTTGTGACATAAAAAGTATACGACAGAAGACAGTCCCTGCACTAACTTTTCTGCTAGATAAACAAGACATGACACAAAGAAAATATTAAATAACATAGAAGCATACAACAATTCCTAAACATTAATTATATTTTTTCTTTTTTTTTTTTTTTTTGAGATGGAGTCTCGTTCTGTCACCCAGGCTGTAGTACAGTGGTGCAATCTCGGCTCACTGCAAGCTCCACCTCCCAGGTTCACGCCATTCTCCTGCCTCAGCCTCCTGAGTAGCTGGGACTACAGGTGCCCACCACCACGCCCAGCTAATTCTTTTGTATTTTTAGTAGAGACGGGGTTTCACCGTGTTAGCCAGGATGGTCTCAATCTCCTGACCTCATGATCAGCCCGTCTCGGCCTCCCAAAGTGCTGGGATTACAGGCGTGAGCCACTGCTCCCGGCCAAAATAAAATAATATTTTAAGAGTAATCTGATCATAGCATATGAGATAATTTTAAATTCTGCCCTAAATATGGTAAAGGACTACAAGGAACATCAACTCTTATTTCAGTTACAATTTGAAAATTCAGTCCCCAGAAAGAAGAAAAAGCCATTAGAAAACAGTCCTGGGGGAAAAAAAGGAAGAACACAAAATGACATTAGCAAGATGAGAAAGTAGGAGATAACAGTCTTCATCTCCCCCCTAAAAAAAAAACCACTAGACAGCTATCCATGGATGAAAGTGGCCTTGGTGGGGCTCAAAGTCTCAAAGAAGCTGCAGCAAGATAGTAAAGCAAAAAAAATGGAGAATAACCACACAGACAGGATAGCTGAGGAGATCAGCATACCAGAGACATCTGGAGACAGCAAGGAATGAGGAAGAGTGCAGGAACCACAGGTCCCACCATGGTTCCTAGTAGCCTGCTCTACAGAGAACACTGACAGCTCTCACCACTAACATAACTAATAATGACTGCCACCATTAAACCCCCAGATAAGAAAAATGTTGCTCCATCCACCACCGAGAAGGAGTCACTGTTTTGCCAACCCAGGACCAGAGCCACCATGCCCCAATTCCATGGGTGACCCAGACCACAGAGTCACAATCTTTCCATATGTACCCAGGCTCCAGCACTTGCCAGAAGGCTGCATCATGCACTCCCATGCCTCAGACACCAGAGCCACTTTCACTGAGGGCTAGCCCCACCCCAGGCCGTACAGGCATGCTCACTCTGCACCAGCCTGCGCAATGAACCCTAGCTCTGCCACTCCTCTATGAATCCTATGCTCCAGGTATCTGAGCCACTGCCACAGTGAGCTAAGCCACAGCTCAATCCTAGAACCACTGTTGTTCTGCATGTGTTCACACTCCAGTCCACATCTCTGAGGCTGCACCATGCACATGTATAATATAGTCACCAGAGCCGCTGGCTTTACATGCTAGCCTTGCCCAGGGCCCTGAAGCTGCAGTCTCTCAGTACACATGTGGGCTGTAACCTCAGCTCTGCTGCAATTCTTTGAGATTCTGACTGCACATGCATCAGACATCAGAGCTACCACCACGACAAGCTAGCCCACACCCAAGGCCCCAGAGCAACTGTTGCTCTCCAGGTGTGACCACATTCCAGAATGTGGCTCTGCAACCACTCAACAAATGCCTGCATTCTAGACACCAGAACCATTAATGCAGCAGGGATATCCATATCACAGTCCTCAGAGCAGCAGTAGACTTGCACACACTAGCATCTGGACCCGAAAGCCACTGTCAATCCATACATACCTGTGCTCCCAGATCCAAGCTTCTTGACCACTCCACAGGTATCATGCATCAGACATTGGTACCATTGTCACTACAAGCACACCCACAAGCCAAACCCAGAACAAAGAGGTGTCACCTCTGCCACAACTTCCCTTAGGGAAGTAAAAGAGATCAAAATAATTCTGTCAGGCTTTGCCACTGTTGCAGATACCTATAGCCTTGGCCACTGCACACCGCTGAAATTTTTACCCACATCAACCACAGCCAAAAAAGCTACATGGACACTAAACTGCCACATCCTCACTGGATCCTGAATTGCCACATCCCACCCAGCTAGTGTACTCACAACCACCCCATAGGTGAAGATCTTTTCATATAAAACTAGTCCATAAAGTCTAGAAGCAGTGACTCTATCAATATCTGACAAAATATTCAAATACTAGTTTTAAGGAAGCTCAGTAAGTTATAAGAAAACACCGATAGACAACAAAAATCAGAAAAACAACACACTAACAAAATGAGAAGTTTAGCAGAATGATGGAAATCATAAAGAAGAACCAAACAGAAATTCTGATGCCAAAGAATATAATTAATACAATTAAAATTACAAAAGATAAGTCAAAAAATATGTCAACTATATAATTCATCAAGGAGAAGAAAGAATCTGTAAACTTAAAGAATGTTATTTGAAAATATACAGTTAGGAAAAAAAGAATAAAGAATACAAAGGAATTTTAAAGGCTATTACCTATTGGAAACAATGTTCACTATTCAGGTGATGGGTACACTAAAAGCCCAGACTTCACCACGACACAACATATACATGTAAGAAATCTGAAGTTACCTCCTCTAAATATACAAAAATTTAAATGTTTTAATTCTGAAAAATAAAATAAATAAATAAAGCCTACAGGATTTACAGGACAGCATCAAGAGTGTTATCATTTACATTATAGGAATTAAAAAAGAAGAAGAGAAAAAAGGGGAAAAGCTTATATGAAGAAATAATGGCTCAAAATGCCCCAAATATGGGGAAGGATATAAACATTCAGAAAGATAAAAAGTCTCCAAACAGGTAAAACCCAAAAGAATATTTCACCAAAACATATTATAACCAAACCATCAAAAATTAAAAACAAAAAGAGAATCCTGAAAGCAAGAGAGAAAAGAGCTTCCTCACACAGAGAGAATCCCCACAGGGCTACAGCAGTTTTCTAAGTGAAAATTTTGCAGTCTAAGAGAGTAAGAAGATATTTTCAAAGTTCTTCAAGAAAAAAAAAAGCTGCCAACCAAGAATACTTTACCCAGAAAAGTTAGTCTAAAAAATGAAGGAGTGATACTTTCTCTGACAAGCAAAAGCTCAGGGAGTTCATCATCATCAGGCTTGCCTTACAGAAATGATAAAGGGAGCTCTTCAATCTGAAATGAAAGGACACTAAGTAGTAACACAAATACATATGAAAGTATAAAACTCACTGGTTAAAGTACGTATACAGTAAAATTACATACTATAATATTATAACAGTAGTCTGTAAATCACTTATGTCTACAGAATAAAGGGTGAAAGACAAACAAAATACCTATAGCTACAATAATTTCCTAAGGTGTACGCAATATAAAATATGTGAATTATGACATCAAAAACATAAAATGCTTAGAGGGGATTAAAAGTATATCAACAAATCACAAAAGAAGATACCAAACAGGGAATAAAAGAACAAAGGATCTACGAAACGGCTAAAAAGCAATTAACAGAATGGCGATAGTAAGTCCTTATTTATTAAAGGTAACTTAAAAGTAAATGGATCAAATTATTCAATTCAAAGACATAGAAAGGCTGAATAAATAAAAAAACAAGACTACATGCTGCTTACTCACAGAATAAAAGTGAAGGGATGTAAATAGGTATTCCATGCAATTAGAAACCAATAAATGAGCAGGTGTGGCTAAACTTACATCAGACCAGATACTTTGAGTCAAAAACAGTCACAAGAGACAAAGAAGGTTATTATATAATGAAAAAAGCTCAAGAGAATATAACAAATATATACACACCCAACACTGCAACACCTAAATATATAAAGCAAATATTAATAAATCTGAAGAAAGAGATAGACAGCAATACCATAATAGCAGAGGCCTTCAGTATTCTACATTCAATAATGAACAAATCATCCAGACAGAAAACAAATAAGGAAGCCTTACATTTTAACTACACTTTACACCAATGGACCTAACAAACATATACAAGATATTTCATTCAACAGCAGGAGAATATAGAACTTTCTCAAGTGCAAATGGAATGTTCTAAAGGACAGATCTTGTGTTAGGCCAGTAAGTCTTATAAAATTTAAGAAGGCTAAAATCATATCAGGTATTTCCCAATCACAGTGGCATGAAACTAGAAATCAATAACAGAAGAAAAATTGAAAGATTTACAAATATGTGGAAATTAACATACTCCTGAACAATGGGTCAAAAAGAAATTCAAAAAGAAATCAAAAAATATCTTACAACACACAAAAATGGAAACATACCAAAATTTATGTGATGCAGCAAAAGCAGTTATTAAAAGGGAGATTATAGCAATAAAAACCTACATTAAAGCTAGGCACAGTGTCCCACACTTGCAGTATCAGCTACTAAGGAGGCTAAGTGAGAGAATCACTTAAGGCGAGGAGT